GATTCATGATAATGTTGTTCAGTGTCTCCAATTGTGTTCAATTCCAGATCCAGTCCCTCAAAGGTATTGTTAGTTGTTAGTAATACCTAAAAACATAACTGCCTTCATCCTGTAAGCACCGTGCATATCTTTGCTCAAGTATTAGGCCACTGATTCTGACATTTATTGCATGACCAACCTAGAGTATGTAGTTTCAAATGTATGGCCCAATCTAATATGATGCCACAGACCCCTAAAGTTGATCATTTCTACTCCCTAACGTGAGCCCTGTACAGCTTGGTGTGAGTAACAGCAGCCACACTGACTTCACCCGTTGTTAGTAATACCTGAAACATAACTGGGACGTGCAGGATGTTTGCTCATGAGCTGCATCCATGTGTTATTAAGCAAGTCAAACATTGCATAAACGACTACGGTATGGCCAGCGTGTACACGATCCCACCCCAACTCAAAACAGTGGAGATGACAGTGGACTTCAGGAGGAGCCCCCTGCCCCTACCCCTAACCCACCCTACCGCTCTCACAGTACTCAGCAAGACTGTATCAGCAGTAGAGTCTCCTGGGACTTGAAGTGGACAACCAACATCAGTGCCATCATCAAGAAGGCACAGCAGAGGATGGACTTCCTGCACCACACTGTTAGGTATTTTTAGTCAGATAGAAATTGGATAGATACTTTATGTATTAGAAATGTTTAGTGGAGATAGGATGTCTAGTTAGACTGTTAAATGCTTAGTCATGCTTATGAGTTTCTACAGGGTACATCTGGTCAAGGATAACTAGAGAGAAGAGTTGATGACTGTCAGCAGACAGGATGTTTAATATTATTATTACGACGTGTATAACTGTAGCCTTAGCCATAATATGTTCTTATGTTTAATGTCACGACATGTTACTAGAGGTCGTGAGAATGTTTTTAGCTACACCCCACTTAATCAACAGACACACACATTCACACATTGATTTGCTTCATGTTTCGACTACTGCTATGGCCAGCTGCAAAGCTGGCAACAGAGACGTCTCGGTTGACGTTTCTGTGTAGTATGGGGCTAGCCCAACCGAGGAGATATAATGTATAGGCCTGTTGTGGTTCAGGGTCTTTCATCTTACATCTGCCTGCGAGCAGTTTGGAGGTGCAAGATACCTGAGCGTGTAATGTTAATTTTACCTGTGATCCTTTGAATAAATCAGCACTGTTTTGAAGTTACTTGGACTGTCGCATCTCTCAGAGTTAGCAATGGTAACAAGAACCAAATAGTCCTACAACACCGAGAGCCACTGTACCAGAGTCAAATTCCTGTGTTCAACATACTTGGCAAATAACTTAGGTTCTGATTTTAACTTAGATAAAAATGATTCAAGTGAGCCCTATGCTGTGAAATGCACAGATTTTAAAACTGGGAAAAACTGAACACAGGTAGTAGATCTGCATTCAGTACTGTCAGATCCATGCATCCCACACATACACTAACAGTGCTGTACCCTTCTTGGGTGCCACATGTTGTACAAGATTTACAAAGCTCAATTGCCAACTGGGCAAATTTGATAATTACATGGGGGTCCAAAAAACAAAACAAAAATTACTGTAAATTTATTGTTTAGTTTTTTATGATTTTATAAATTTAAATTCAGTTATCTTCCACATCAATCGGGGCATTTAAAAAGATGGACCTGCCATATAATATAAACTGAAATGAAAAGCACTTAAAGGTTTAATCATTTTTACCTAATTTATAGTCTGAAAATCTAGTTTTAAAATCCTTGTTGCTTTCAGTTAGCATCATCCTTGCATTGTGCATATTCTTGAATACCTTTGTTTAATTTAATTATGACATTATCACACACTAACATGTAGCTTAAGGCAGAACAGGAGGGCAGAAGAGGCAAACAGCTCCGTCTAGCCCCAGGGAGCAATACCAGGGTTAATCTAGCCTTGAACATCTGCACCAGCCTACTGTGCTTCCATCATATCATGACGGATATCATTTAATTGTTGCTTGGCTGAAATGAAACCTTTTCAGCCTCGTAAGCCGTTGTGTTATTCCGGTAAAGACACATCACAACTCCGTTTCAGTTTATATCAGGTTAATACAAGATTGTTTAATGGTTAACCTATCTAACCAACCAAAACGGTACCGTTTCCCATCAATTTGTTGTACTTTTAACTGAATCCAGTGTTAGCTTCATTTAAAGTAACACGGCACACTACGTTTCACAGCCCAGTTGTACACTTGTACACGCGCAACCCAAGCGAGCAAAACACGAGAATACAGAAAAACGCATATTTGGCTAACTCCCCAGAGAAAAGGTGTTAATGAAATATATGTGTTCTTCTCCTAAGACTAAAAAACGAGAAGCTTTACTACTCACCTGCTAATTGAACACCCATGAATAACCACCGACCCACTTTGATGACGTCATGTGTTGCCACGTCTCATAAGCCGAATCCCAATTCCTTTATTTTATGGTTCCTCGGACCCTCGATCCTCACTCGACCAGGAAGTCGCTCCGGTCCGCCATGCTGATGATCGTCCCAAAGCTCTTATTTCTGGTCTGAGGAGCGAGGAGCGAGGAGGCTGCCTGGAGGAGCTAACCGAGGATGCATGAGCGCATACTTCACGGAAGTCTGTTACGGACGGATTGACACGCTCCTTTCTCGGAAATTAGTTTGTGATCGGACGCTTCACATGAATCGAGGGAAAAGGATGTTTTTGTTGTTGATTTTTTTTTTATTGAACGTTATATTTGCAAAAATGCAAGGCAGTGAAAAAAGCGTGTTTCCTCGATTCGTCAGTCCTCGAAACTTTTCCATGCATCTTACACAGGCAAGAGTAAGACACAAGGAAAAATGCAAGTGAGGGAAACGGATGCAATTAGAGGAATACAAGTTGTGACTGTATTTTTTAACTTAAATGTTGCATATATATTTGTGTCTTTCAGTGTACCTGGACAAGTACAGCCCAAAGGTACTGTCCAACACAATGAATGTACTAAAAATCCTGCCCTCCCATAAGTATCCCTCCTGGAGCCAAGCTTCCCCTAATTCCCACCATGCTTTTAGTGTTTAATGCGGAGTGGGAAGACTGGGTGTTTGTTAGGGAGCAGGAGGCAGCTGCTGAGTGTAAATCTCTGCAAAAAGACTTTGAGAATATGGTGTTCCAGCTCATCCAGGAAAAGGATGATATAATCAGCAGTGCCAGGACTTAAATGATGACACTAGTTTAGGAAAATATGGCCAAGCTGTGCACCACTGAGACATTTCTCCACAAGCCAAACAAAATAGAAAGCTCTGGAGCATCACCTCAGATGTGAGCTGGCTGAAACAGAAGACAGCTCAAGAAAGTACAGAAGCTGCAGAAACAGAGCAGAGTTCCTGATCCAGTAAAACATTAAAGAGCCCATGGCCCATGCTTTTCCTTGCTTTCTGACTCATCTACAATGTTACAACAGTGAATTATCCTCTTAGGCGTGACCTAAAGCTAAAAAAAATGAGATGTATGTATTTTCTAGTACTTTTATGCAGAAGCAACTCAATTCATACAAGTCTTGCAACTCTCACTCACAAGACCTTTTCTCTAACAAAATTAAGTATTATGTGATAGTTTGAAGATCTCTTTGAATGGTCATAATCTCCTTCCCTCTTTACCCTCCAACCTCAGACCTCCATCTCCTCCAGGGAAACAGGGTAAAGTCTTTGCACTGTACTGCACTTAATACTTTTCATACCTCAGAGAAATGGCACCCTCAAGTGATATTTTCAATGGAAGACAGTCATGGTGACTGGAGAGGGTTGGAAATATCCAGTTAGTTCACATGTATAGTTATCTGAATTATTTTCAATGGCCAAAGGTCAGGAGTCAAACTAGTTTAAACAACCTGTAAAACCAAACTGAGTTTGAGTAATTTTTTACCACCAGAGGGCAGAAGAGAACGGAGCTGAATTTTCTCTAAACCTCAATAATTCAAATATAATAATTTACAAGAGGTAAAGCAAAATCATAGTATGCTGACAGCTTTTGTATTAATATATAACAAACTATACAGGAACAAAGAGCAGGAAATAGGCAATCAAGTAAAGGAAAACCATTTTGTTCACTTTCATTTGATTAGTCAGGTGACCCAATTAGCATGAGGATTAGCATGTTTTTGTCAGTTGTTTATGTATGCAATTAAACATGGACAATGCACAGCGTATCACACTAAAAGTGCCCTGCTGGACTGTAGCAGCCTGCATTTTCTCACCAGCAAAAAGATTGTATTGAATTATTATCCAAGGCCTTAAATCTTGTGGTTTTCCCATTTATTCAGCCAGTATAAAGTTGGAGACTGTATGACAAGCCAACTCTACCTCAGCAGCTAAATGTGCTCTTCTGCGGGACTGTCGCAGTCAGGCTGGCCTTTGCTCCCCATGTGTAATAAGGAACCTTAGAACACAAGTGTTCAAAGGCTGACCCAGGTGTCTAGTTTTAGCTCTTGTCGAAGTCGCTCAGGTCCTTAACACTTTCCCATTCTTCCTGCTTCCAGCACATCAGCTTCAAGAACTGACTGCTCACTTGCTGCTTTGGTAGGCGCCATTGTAATGAAATAATCAGTTATTCACATCAACTGCCAATTTTAACTTAAACAAGTATCTTGTATCATAATTACACATTTGGGGTTTGTAATAAGGCAAACTGCTGAAAAACAGATTTTAAATTCATCAACTTATGCTTAATACAACTGTGGAAAGTCCTTCCTTCTTGTGCATACATTTCGGAGGTGCAGCATCTCTGTACCAATATGGTGGCTGCTTTGACATTGCTGTAATGACCAGCAGGGGTTCATGCAGCATCTACCCACATGTAGGTTATACTCTAGCCTACGTCTGTGCTCCATGTGACCTGCCCCCACACCACCACCAATGATCACTTAGTGGTCAAAGTTTAGAGACATAAGATGCGATATGAATTAAAAGTTTATTTTGTCAAAAAAACCCATTTTAATCTACATCCATTAGGCAACATTACTGCGTGTGTTGCTTTTGATAAGCTGAGGTAACATTTTAACACTGCAAAGATGGATGGTTCCTATTGCGTTACCATTTAGGAAAAAAAATTCATTTGTTATTTTAAGTGAGACTAGACCTTTCTGCAAAAGGTGAATGTTCATTCACAAAAACACATATGTAAGAGGAACAAGTACCAAACATGTTAATTTATTAAACACTAAATTGCATCCACCAGTCTGAATAACCTGCTCAGGCTCCTGTTTCTTAAACTGCTATAAAATGAACAAATACTATACCTAAAAACCTCAACCATTTTTACCCCCCAGATTTACAGTATTAACAACATGGCTACAACTTCTATAGATTTTCAAATGTCAGTCCTTTCCAGATCACAAAATGCATTACAGCAATTATGGTAAAACTGGTCAGAGGTATCATTTTCTATACATCTTCTCTTACATTTTACTCAGTTCCAAAGTTAAAAAGTTGTTGTAATACACAATTTTTTTCCCAAAGTTTTGAATTTAAGATTTCCATCTTAAAACCACTATGTGGAGAATGGTTAATTTATTTACTGTTACCTTGTAGGGTTAATTTGTACTAATACTCCTTCTTAACAAAGAAGTATAAACGTATCCATCCAGAAAACCCCATTTCTCCCAAGCATTAAAAATGTACATAACATACACACTTAAAGAAAAGTCCGCACACAAAATAAAAGCTTTCAAATAATGGCCATGGCCAGTATGAATGATTCTAGCCAGTAACTGAAAATGTAACACTGTATGCAACAGAAAGGAAATCCAAACTATGGGCTGCTCTTCAGGCTGATATACATTAATCAAAACAATCTGAGACTGAAGAATCAGTTGTTGGTTAAATTGTTCACAGTTAGACATGCAAACTGCGAGAAGAGGTCCCGAGTAGGTGCAGCTTTATTTTAAGGGTTTGCAGTTTAATAACTGGGAACCCTTCACTGTGGTGGCAATCACGACAGAGGGATTTAAGTACAGACAAATGGAAATGTGGCTGTGATGTGGAATATCAATGTCATTAAACAAGCTGTAGAAACCTGTCTGTACTGAATTAACAAGTGCTAAAATGTTTATAAATGGATCTTTCCCGACACAATGTCTTGATATATAGATACAGTCAAGGGAATATAGTCCTTCTGAGAGATATCTAAGAAATACAGAGGGTCCTGGGTAATGTCCAGATTAAAACCCTCTTGGACCAGCTTCACCTTCAGCTGCTTGAAGGTCTCCGTCACATCCAGAGATGTCTGGAAACACAGGTAAGGATACAAATGAACACAAGTTTATTCAGAGATGTCTGGAAACACAGGTAAGGACACAAATGAACACAAGTTTACAGTATACTTAAAAATACATACTAGAGGTAATGAATATCTGCATGTCTTACCTGTATTCTGAGAAACCACGGCCAGGCATATGCAGGAAGTGTTTTTACTAAATGGTTGTAGAGTTTTGTTCCATTTAATTTCTGATCCTTTTTTAAGACAACGGCAGCCATACCTGCTCGACCCTCATATCCTGCATACAAAGACTGAAAAAAGTCAGCAAGTCATATTGAATTAACAAAAGCAAGCCAACTACAGGTCCATCTGTGACATTGACTATGGAGGCCCTGAGGTGCAACATACAATACTGCTGCAAAGTAGGAAGAAGGTGCTGGTTCTGGAAGCATTTCCCAGTGTTTCTCAACATATTAATGGAGTCTCCTGAGCTCCCTATGTTACTGCCAAGCAAAAAGCATGGGATCCATTTATTTCATCAATACCTGTAGATTTATTGCTTGGAAATTTGATTTGGGACCTCTGAGCAAGAAACTTGGCTCAACATGGTAAGAGTATCATGACACCCTGCCTGTGCAGCCCCTTGCATTGTCAGTGTTCCATTTGGTTGTGCTGGAGTTCCCTTTAGCCTGATCAACTGAAAGAAATAATAATCTAACAGTAACAGGTGGTGGATATGCTGTAATAAACTTTAATTTTATCTTTTGACAGCATGCATGTATTGGCAAAGAGAATCTTTACCATTTTCCATTTTTTTTATTTCGCACTGACAAGCTGTGTTTTTAGTATATAATTTCTGATGCTGTTTGTGCGCATGGCATTTTCTTTATGTGCCACACAGAAGTGTGAGGTTAATATAAGCTGCCATTTTGTTTGGCGAGTTCAAATGGAATGGGACCCACACCTGACTGCCACAAACTGGAACTGTGCCTGTCAGGTCTTGGAGTGCACCCACGATCTAACGGGGGGCATATCAGCTTCAGGCTCAACTTTAGATTTAGGTTTTGCTTTTATTTCTAGAACCCTGCAACACCTGAAATTATTTCTACTACAAAATCCAAAACATTTCATTACACATTCACAGAACAACAGTCTCTGACAGTGTTTATTTGCACAATAAGCCTACTATATACTATGTAGTATTATAAATCAGTGGAACACTTGTTACAAACCTGGTATGGTAACTCCGTAGACAGTGGCCTCCTGGATAAAATCAAGAAGACCTAAAACCTCCGACACTTCTGTAGTTGATACATTCTCTCCTTTCCACCTGTAGCACACAAGGTTAAATGCAGATACACCTGCCATAAGTGCAGAAAATGTAAACACACTAACATCACTTTTTAAGTTGTTTGGTGAACTTGTTAGCCAACAACTGCTTATTTACACATTCAGCAGACACAGTACAACATTACTATGAATTTAGAGTAGTGCCTGTTTTCACCTTATAAATCTACCGCAACGTCTGTTAGCTTTGTTTTGCCCGACCATGTTCAGCAGCTGGGACCCCGTTTGTGTCCATCTGCCGTTTGCTGTTCAACTGGGAGTGTATAGTGGCATTTTAGAGCTTTTTCTCAAACAAATGCCTGCTGTGTCCTAAAATGACACTATGAGAGAGGTGTGAGTGACCACTCAAGTTGTGGTCTGCACGGCTACACAGTGAGGTGAAAATGACTAGGAAGCTCTGTTGAGCTGGCCCAGGGCTGAGTGGGTCTGAGCTGTGCCTTCAACAGAGGCGGCTCATCATGACACGTGATTGGCTGAAGTGTTGCACCGGGGGAGCGTTGTTACTTACAGCAGCAGTCACTTTTTTATTTGAGATTTCACTGCAGCAAGATTTGAAAATGGATTCTCTCACCTGGTTTTCCTGATGAGGGGTTAAAATAATGCCTAGGACCAAAGGCTCCATGCTGCAAGCTGGTAACACTACACCAACACCATGAGTTGTGCCATTTCTCAGCAACAGGATCAACCACATCCTTCTCACTGAGACAAAGGTTTTTGTGTCTTCCTCGCTCAGAGTTGCTCTGAGCAGTTTCCTAAATCACTTTTAAGTTACAACTCCTTGCTAGAAGCTTTTAGACTAAGTTAGAAGCTCTCTGAGATAATGATGATGATCCACTGTCAAAGAGACCACAAAACAGGTGTCGATGATAACCAGAGAAGGCCTAGTAGGGCTCCAAAAACAGCAGGCCGTAGAGAAGCCCTGCTACAGCAAGCAGCTAAATCAGAGCCAGCCGAGAGAAAAAGACCATTATGGGAAAACATGAATTACAACTGTCCCAGTCTACTACAGAAGAACATTGACTATTCCACCTGTATTAAGTATTATTATAGCTGCAAACCTCAATAGCCTACTGTTACTGTGCTATGGAAATATGGCGCATTCTGTCTATTTGTCCTCAGAACAGCCGTCTGTCTGTCAGCACGGCAGTGGCCTGAGAAAGAGTTTTCCCCAGGCTGACCGACAACACAAATGTACTGGACAAAAATGGCTTTCATGTAGGCTCATCAGGAAGAAATCAGGTTTTACATGGCCTATGGATTTATTGATTGTTCCCCAGCTCGCTACAGAGGACAGACATACAAACATACCTGAAGGTGTCTCCGACGCGGTCACAAAAGTACAAGAAGTCCCTGTGATCGTGGAGCAGTAGGTCTCCGGTGTTGAAATATAGGTCTCCAGCTTTAAATACATCCTTCAGCAGCTTCTTCTCAGCCTGGACCTTGTCACCAGCATAGCCCAGAAACTGGTTTGTAGCTGTCAGAGGAGCTACCAGGATCCCTGCCTCCCCTGTGCACAGAAGCGTGATAGACATACAGCTGTGTTCTGCAGACTGAATTACTTTCATGTTGAAAGACTTGGCATGTGAGTCATTTACCTGTTTGAGCTCGTATGCATCTCCCAGAGTCTGTTCTGACTGGCTCGTACGTCTGTGGATCATATCTAAGGAGCTCAAAAGGGATAGAAAGCTGAAAAAGAAGAAATGACTATAGTTGATGTAGATACTGACAGAGGCTAGGCTACACTAAGGCTAGGCTACATCACTAAGGCAAAATCACTGAAACATCTCTCTGAATATATCGTTATCACCAACTCCAATTCTGAATCTTACAAAATACAAGTGACACAATGTGTTGCAAGATACAGGTCCAGAGAAAACATGACAAAATGTTGTACTCTTTACCTTGTTGAAATAGCTTGCCCTCCCAATTGGCCCGACCTCATCAGTGTAGTTGAGAAAGCCAATGCTGACCTCAGTCAAGCCATAACCCTCTCTGATCTTGATCCCACCAAATCGTTTGACAAACTCCTTCCACACATCTGACCTGAGACCACTTCCTGCTGCCAGCCGTACACTGTGAGCTCTCTCCTCTGGAACCTGAATACAGAAAAAGGACTTGGATGAAAAGGAGGCAACTTTCAATTTTTAAAGAAACAGAAGTTGTTTTGGGGCACTGAACCACATAACAATTATTCAGTTATCTGTTCTGCTCTCCAGAACAGTTCTCCACATTCTTTGGAACAGTGGAGACTAAACATCATGATGGCGGCACATCCATTATCAGAATGAGATCTGTAAGATCTGTGTTGTTATGGTGCATCAACTGTGGCCTGAATTTGACAGTGAAAGCTCATGCTAACAAGGTAAACAAAACTGTCTTCTTCGTGTGGGTGTGCATGTTCCACATGCTAACAAGGTAAACAAAACTGTCTACTTCGTGCGGGTGCATATGTTCAGACCGTCCCCTGTACACAATTAGCCAACACAGCGCTTTTGTCGGATGATGTCAAAGTCTAGTGTGGCAAAAATTAAACCAGATCCAACTTTTTCACCACATTCTTGTGTCGTTTTGCCGGTGTCCCCTGCAGTGCTGGTGCCGGCTGTGGTGAACGCAATCCCCATAAAAATGAATACATAAGATTGTGTTTTTTCACACCTTTGAAACTCAATTTAAACGCAGGCTATATCCTCCCTCCTGCAGATTCTGCAGAAACTGTCTGACAGTCCTTAACTCTGAGTGAATTATAATGTAATACGATCATATCAATATCATGTGGCCATCCTGTCTTTAAACCTCTAGTCAAATGCTTTACTTTATGGTGAAGAAAATGACTTGTATTTTAAAAATTGGCAGTCTTACCACAGGATGGTTGACCAGGTATCGACAGAGCTCTCCTATGTACTGCACCACAGACACATTGTGTTTGACACAATCCTTCCAAAACTGACTGGCAGAAAACTTCTTTTTTAATACACAAGTTGCCCCTGTGATCCAAAGGCGAAAATATGGAGAAGATGGAAAGGCAAACAATTAATACTATAAGACAATATATTGCTAAACATGTCTAATAATGTCAGTATAAATGCTTTTTTTAAGCTGGAGCTGGAGCAAGAATTTTCTGCGGCTTTGTTTCAGCCCTTTCTTTTGGTATGAGACGAAGTGAGAATTCCTAATAGGTCTACAAAAAAAGATATCCATCCAGCATTTACCCTAGACATTATTACGTATATATATAGGATATAAAAAAAAATCTTCCAGGATTTGTGTATGTTTGTACCAATGACATGTTGCAAGCACAGCTAGTGGAAGGACAATCCAACCACCTGAATCATTCTAAAAGGAAGCAAAAATAAAAACTGCATAAACTAAATCTGAATGAACTTTGCTTTTCTCTCCATGATAGGCCTGCTACTATAAGTGGTACATTGGCTATAATGAACCAATTATCAGGCTAATGGGTATGACTTCCAACTAGTAACAACTGTGAGAAAAAGGATATGCTGCAGTTGCTGTATAATAACTGAAAACACCGTATAGTTGAATGTCTTTTAAAATACATTAATTAGATTTTTTTGCTGAGAGAGAGATGAAAAACGTGATACCACTCTCATGACTGTGTGTTAAATACAGAGCTGGAGTCAGGATGTAGTTAGCCTAGCTTAGCATAAATGCTGGAAGCAGAGATAAACAAGTAGCCTGGTTCTGTACAATGTTCAGAAATACATCTAGAAGAGAGCAGTATTCCTTCTGACTCATAGACTTTGGGGTAAAGTGACTCCCTTTAAGAAATGCACTCCTAAGACCAAATTTAAATTCTACATTGACTGAAGTACAGCTGTTCTTACCAAGGTGTATGCACCCTCCAATCCCTAACAGGGAGGCAGACATGTGGTAAAGAGGAAGAGTGATATAGATGATGTCATCAGATGTTGCTCCACACATTTGAAAGAAGGCCATACTTACAATGGCTTTCATATGACCTACACGGGCTGCCTTGGAAAGACCTGGAAGAAAATGGCACCAGTTACTGGTTACTGCTGTATTCAGTATTTTCAAGTGGTGAGCATGTCTAAAACTGGTTTTATGATTCCATTGTTGTTCTCAAACTTTGTGGAACGAAGCTGTAGTGTTTTGTTTTGTTTTTTTTAACACCATTATCACATTTCTCATTAGCTTTGGAATTAATGCATGGACACACTGCAATTAATGCATAACTAATTCAACAGACATGGCCTATAACATTATAGCTTAGAAGTTGCTTTGCTTTCAAGAAAACTGTATTACCTGGCCTATATAAAGTATGTCTTTTATTTTTAATAGTATATGAATCCACTGAACCTTGGTGAGATAGGTGCTTAATATAGAGGTAAGCCATAAAGATACAAAACAAAGATATTCTGATTGAAGAAGACTGAAGTTGGTTAACATGCCACTAACAAACCAAAACACTATCATTACTATCTGTGCATCAGAAGCTCCTGATGCACAGATAGGCTTCACTGTTGTCAGATCCAAGTTGTACATTTTTATAATTACAATAATGTCTCTACTACAACAGTTTAGATGCAATATTTGTGTAGTGTAAAGTGGCTCTACACCAACAGATGTGTTAATAACACAATGCTCATGCAGTACCTGTGGTGCCCGAAGTAAAAATGAAGAGGAAGTTTGACATAATGTCAACTTTAGGAAGTTCACTTAAGGTTTCTCCAGACATGTGTTCCACTTTATCTAGTAAACTGTGGAAATCCTCAGAGGGTGATGTGTGATCCACCACCCACACAGCCACATTGTCCTTCTTCAGATCAGGCAGCACCTCCTTTCCCACCAAATGCACCAAGTCTGGATAAACACATACAAGGGGTTATCTCGCTTCTGCTTCACCAGACACAATCAGAGCCAGCAAAAGAAAGAAATTGACATAGATGAAGATATATGACATGAAGACGTTTTAATACATTACTAAAATGCTTGGTTATTAAAATTGTTGCAAATGTTTATGAATCTGTTTCATCACTACATTAAAAAAATCACGAGCACTAATACAATCCTCACATCTGTTGCAATTTATAGATCACTTGCCTATTTTCACCCCATTCACACACCATTCTTCTGGTCTCAATCCTCACATCTGTTGCAATTTATAGGTCACTTGCCTATTTTCATCCCATTCACACACCTTTCTTCTGGTCCGGTGTGACTCACTGGACTTTGCTGCACTATCAGCTAGATTCCTAATTAATTGTCTTAGGCTCCGCCCTTTTATACCCAACTCATCTAGCAGTGAACCAGCGGAATTTTGCTACAAATCCCCTACAACCAACCTCCACGGGACGGACTTAAACTTTCCAGCCATGCTCTTCTGCCTACACAGCTACTTCTGTCTTTCAGTATCTTCCTCTCATAAGCTGTATCTACAGCATCCTCTCAGAGAACTGTAAGCTCAACAAATTACACAGTCTGCTGTGTTTCTGACCACAGCACACGGTCTGGTCTGAGGTTAGTGCTGACTGTCTCCTCAGGAACTATGAGCTGATTCCCTAAATCTACTTTTACTTGCCAATCTCTTCCTGTGATTAGCTGGCCTGCATTCTGCCTGTTCAAAATTATTTGCTACCTGCCTTTTTACCCTGACAAATAAGCACAATCCCCTCTTGTTTTTTTTTCTCCTCCAATGAGTTTATCTCTTACTGCCTAGTTTAAACACATTTCGGCACTTGGTGATGTCGCCAGGTGTATCTTCCTTGAACCAGGCTTGTTTTACACCCTGTGAGGATGTGCCAAAGTGATGATAAACCTGAACACAACGGATGTGTTGGGTCCTTGCCTATCCATCTATTCAGATTTTGGGGAGATGGAAGCACATCATAGGTTGTACCTAGGATGAACCTAATCCCCACATTTCCCTCCAACTAAATTTCTTCCTTTTTACATCTTTCCATCTCATCCACTGTCCCTGCCGATCCTGGCTTTCCATATCTACTTGCCTCTTCCTGGCTTCTAATCTCCTTGATAACCATCTTCCTTCTGTCAGCTGCTGCTGCTTTGCTCCAAGAAGGTTGTGATGTGCTTAAACCAAAGCCACCATGTCCCTGCTGTACCTACCCTACATCCCTATGTTTAAGAGCTGTCTGAGCCTGCAACACTGTTTCCTTCTGGTTCCACTTCCTCCCTGCTGAGACTGTTGGTGCTGAACTCTGCACCACTACATCCCTGGATTCTGACAGCCTTATCTCCAATCTAGCCTTAGTGCATTTAAACTCCTGCATTAAACTGGTTATATGGAGCTCCAAAACCTCTTTTCCGTACAGGGCCACAGTGCTGAGGCAGGGCGGAGCTCCCAGCCACTTCCTAATAAACATGCTACACATTCTCTCGAGCTTCTCTACCTTAGAAATTGCTACATCATACACTGTCAGTTGCCATAACAATTGTGGCAAAAGACCAAACTGCAGGCACCACAGTTTGAGTTTTCCTGGGAGGCCTGATGCCTCTATGCTCTTAATCCCATCAACTGCCTGCTGTCTCAGACCCTGAATCTGCTCTTTATCACTAAAAGTTGCCTCCTACCACCTACCTAAACTTTGGACTGGCTTCTCTAACACTGATGGAATCAGCCCTTCATCTATACAAAACCTTTTATCCAACTTGATTTCTCTGGTTTCACCTTCATTCTAGCCAACTTTATCACCTCAGGACCTTCTACCGGTTTGAGGCCGCTTGGGATAGCTCCATGCACAATTCTTTGCTTCTAAATCGAGTCACTCCACATGGGGAAAAAATCTACATGACCCTCTCAGCCTATCTGGAGGTACAGTATAGTGCATTCATGAGAGACAGAAATACTGTAACTCATACAGTATCAGTGGTGATGCGCAAATTACTATATGAACAATGTCCGAAAATCCTCCACTCTCTATCAATTGCAGATGGAAAACTGCACCCAGCCTGCAGTCATAACCAAAGATATCTGCATGGTGTTTTACTCTCGGGACACAAAGCTCTCAGCCTCCCGCTCTATTCGCAACCTTTTTGGTACTGGAAGCCTGAGAGCAGCAGATGGGTGAGTTTGACAATTTGAATGATGAAAAACACCATGTAGCATTTCCCTCCAACTAAATTTCTTCCTTTTTACATCTTCCCATCTCATCCACTGTCCTTGTTGAGCCTGGGAGACTGCCTTTGTACATCTACCTGCCTCTTCATCTCGTCAATAATCATCTTCCTTCTGTGAACTGCTGCTTAGCTCGAAGAAGGTTGTGATGTGCTGAAACCAAAACCACCACATCCATGCTGTACCTGCCCTACAATATACATATCTTTAACAGCTGCCTGAGCCTGCAACACTGCCTCCTTCTGGTTCCACTTCCTCCCTGCTGAGACTGTTGGTGCTGAACTCTGCACCACTACATCCCTGGATTCTGACAGCCTTATCTCCAATCTAGCCTTAGTGCATTTAAACTCCTGCATTAAACTGGTTATATGGAGCTCCAAAACCTCTTTTCCGTACAGGGCCACAGTGCTGAGGCAGGGCGGAGCTCCCAGCCACTTCCTAATAAACATGCTACACATTCTCTCGAGCTTCTCTACCTTAGAAATTGTTACATCATACACTGTCAGTGGCCATAACAATTGTGGCAAAAGACCAAACTGCAGGCACCACAGTTTGAGTTTTCCTGGGAGGCCTGATGCCTCTATGCTCTTAATCCCATCAACTGCCTGCTGTCTCAGACCCTGAATCTGCTCTTTATCACTAAAAGTTGCCTCCTACCACCTACCTAAACTTTGGACTGGCTTCTCTAACACTGATGGAATCAGCCCTTCATCTATACAAAACCTTTTATCCAACTTGATTTCTCTGGTTTCACCTTCATTCTAGCCAACTTTAAGTTAACATTCAACTTGTCCAATTGCCTTTTGGTACATGGTGCAGTGGTGGTGATAGCTTTCATGTCATCCATGTACACTCCTATGGGTGGTAATTGTTGCTGTGAAGGAAGCCTCTCTCCTCCTGTGACCCATCTGATGCCCTAACAACAACCTCCACCGTCATGGTAAACACTGGTGGTGAGATTGTGGATCCTGACATGATGCCTGTCTCCAGTTGTTGCCAAACTGTAGTATACTCTTCTGCTATGAAACAGATCTAGATATGCTAAAAATATTCTCTCACTAGCCCTTTAACTGAGTCTGGTACTTTATAAAATAAGCTAGTACTTCGCACAGTAGGCTATGTGGTACAGAACCAAAGGCATTAGCTAGTGCTGCAAGGAACCAGAAAAACCTGGTATTCCAGCTTTCTGCACGGAGGTGTCAATGAGTTTATTCCTTTCTAGGTAGCTCGACAACCTTTGGGTCACTACACTGAAGAAAATCTTGCCTTCTACATTCAGAAGGCAAATAGGCCTAAACTGCCTTACTTCAACTGACTCTTTCTCCTTGGGGATAAAAATCCCTCCCTGTTCTTCTCTATGACTAGGGAACAAGCTGCTTCTTCCATGCTACTCTGATAAGCCTCCACACAAACCTGAACACGTCTGGAGTGTATTTTACATAACTTATAGGGGCATTAGGCCCAGGGGCTGATCCTGCTCCTGCTTGCCTAACTACCATTTCCACTTCTCTCAGTGTTGGTGCTTTGCTGGTCATAGGCTGTTCTACTGCCCCAGTGGGGGCATATCTACTGGCAGACCTAGATTCCTGATTGTCTTTATCTGTATGCATCTTTTCTAATTAAGCCTCTAGTTCTCTCTTAGGCACTTTCAAGGTGCTACTTTTCACCTTATTACATAGTGCCTTGGTGAACTTATAAGGATCCTTATAAAAACCTGCCCTAGCACCCCTAATCATCTTAAAATAAGATTGTTACAGAGTAAGTACACAAATGAGCAAATTCAGACTTTAGTTAGAATAATGTGAAGTTTTAAATTTTCTCTTCTCTTAATTGTGTGAATGCAGCAAGAGGAGGGACTGGAAAAGTAAAATGTTCATTGATAATAATTTGCTATAAATATGAATTAAACTATGAAAATTGTATTCATTTTGAAAGAGTTTTTAATTGGCAATGGTGTACAGTACACGTGCCTTATAATAACAGCAGACCTTGTAACGTGTGTCTAACAAGGTTCTAAAAAGTGATTCAGCTACTTTAAATACCCCCAAAACGGTTCTGTGGTCTGACTTGCACAATCAAAGCACCATAAACAGAATTGACAGTGTTTACCCGAAAGTAGCCTCATTACCCCAAGTGCGTAAAAATGAGAGAGAAAATGTGCAATACCTGCGCCAACAACAAGAGTCTTGGCCCCACAGCTCTGAAAGCAGTGAAGCAGATGTTTGGCTTTAATGTTGACGTTGAGAAAGGCGACTTCACATCCCAGTTTACACAGTCCCAACCACACACATACGAAATCTGGTTCGTTGCACATCAACTGAGCAACAATGTCTCCTTTTTTCAAAGAGCCCTCAGACCTGAACGCGTTGGCAAACTGATTACTTCTCCTGTCCACGTCCTGGTATGACAGAATCTGGTTTTCGAAGATAATGAAGGGTTTGTTCGGGTTCTTCTTCGCTTGATAGATAAAACAGTCGAGGTACGTGACGGTCCCTCGCTGCATACGAGCCTCCAGCGTTTTTCTGTACCCCCGAAGTTTCAAGTAATAAATCAAATCCACCAAGAAGAAGGGATAACTCATCCTCTGGTAGCACAGAAGAGCCAACAGTCCTGCTAAAATGCTGGTAAACACCAGGGTCATCATCTTCACGTGAAAACACCACAGCTCTGTCGACTGCTTCAAAACGTTAAATAATAGGCTGCCTTGGCGCACGACTTGAGGAAAACAGCGCTTGTGCGAGCCAATCAGCTAAGAGCGAGGAGCGGACGCGGAACCCGGCTTCAGTTTCTTTTAAGGCAACGACTCAGTGATATTTAAGATAAATAATGGGCTGAGGAAATATTCAGTATACGTCGAATGAATAAATTCCAGTAACGGTAGTTTTGACTTTACAACAAATACTCTATTTTGTTTTATTCTTAATCATTTCTTACTACCCCTGAATATGGTACAGTGTGACATGATTGAATTTTATGCTGATGGGGAAACAGATTTCCACACAACACCCAGCAGGAGGTCTGCGCATTCGCGAACTATATCCTCTTGTTTCCAGGAAGAGGCTCTCGAGTTTTCTTGTTCTTAAATAATTATAGACTATATGGAGTTATAAGAGGTGCAAAGCTAAGCTAGAACTATCATCCTTAAACATTCAATGGCTGGAAATGAGCATTCCATGGGCACTTGAAACAGTACCTCTGCACCCACCGGAGACCTATGTGGCAGAAAATGCACTAAAAGTGAATTTTGTGTAATATGTGTCTTTTAACTTTCCAACCCAGATAATTACAAATGCTAATTCAACCCTTCTGGTTATGGATACCCACATAATTACAAATCCCCATTCAACCCTTCCGTGTTAGGACCAATAGGTCAAGACAGAGGGACTCAGAGGCTAGACTTGGACTCTTCAGTGAAAGAAACTTTATTAGGTATAATTTATGAATGCACTTAAGAGTTAGAGATGACCGATGGAGCAGGGCGTGGAGCCTGGAAGAGAAGTACAGGGTTGAATGGCACTGGAGGTCGTTGGGGCTGGTTAGGCTGGGGACGCGGCAGCTGATGTGTAGAGGGGAAGCAGGAGTGAGTCGGGTTAGCCAAACTGGGGCTAAGGGCTTGGCAGTGTAGGAATGAAACCAGGGATGAACCCATTCAACCCACATAATTACAAATGCCCATTCTACCCATCTGATCTTGGATACCCTACTACTCTACTGTTAGCTGTTCCTGTTAGGGGTCGCCACAGCGAATCCAAGTTGCATGAGTAATTTGGCACGGCTTTACACCAGATTCCCTTCCTGACTCAACCCTCTCTATTTATCCAGGCTTGGGACCGGCACAGAAGTCACTGACATGAAACCCCTGTGGCTAGATACTGTTGGCAGAGCTGTACAAACAGGTCCCAGAGAGAACCAAGGAAAAGCCCAGGAAACACAGCCCATAACAGCAGCGCTGGCCTCAGATGATCTGGTACCAGAAGTGACCTTACAAGAGTTGCTGCAGGAGACCATCGAACAAATTGTCTTTTTGCAGTTAGAAGCCCCACAAGAACAGCAAGAATGTTTACAAGAAATACTGGAATGACCACTATTCGAAAAAGGAGAATACAAGGAGATGACAGACAAACCAAGAGAAGATGAGACTGAGCTGTATGAGCCAGAAGGAACTGCAACTGTGATGGAGAATGTCTCAGTGCAGGAAGGGGAGGTCATGGAGAAGTTGATGGAAAGCCTGTACTCCCCTATCACACTCGGCCCAATGGAATCAGAAGACTCCTGTCAGGAAGGAATAGAAGAAAGTGCAGAATATGTGGTGGTGGATGAGTGGCAAGCAGAATCAGATTTTGAGGGAAAAGGAAGGAAATGGCAAAAGGAGTTGGAAAAGAGAAAAGAATGGAAGAGTGCAGACAACTGAGAAACCGAACTGGATTTGGAGGAGAAAACAGAAGAAACAGCAAGAGGATGTTATGGCTGCGGATCGGTGCACTCCCCCATCCACCAGGCCTGGGACCATGAACAACTTCGCCCTGGCAGGTACTGGAGTGCGGAGCATTACTTAAGGAGTGCGTTGGTGTGTTCTCGTTGCCAGATGATCTCTCAATGTCCAGCAAGTATTCAGTAAGCTTCCAATTTGACTAACCTGTGTTTCTTTTTTTGCCTTGGTGATCCCAATATTGTTTCATGCGTTTTTTTTCTGAACTGTGAGCTGAACTATTTGCTTTCTGCCAGAGGAAATCCCCTTGAGTATTTTTTCGTATGAACTATTGTTTCTGGGGAATTGATTCTCATCTCTGCTTTACTGAATCCTGCTGTCTTCTCACCAGTTCACTGGTTCTTTTAAGTTTCCTCTGAACCTGCACATATGCTGCAATCTCCTCGCAAGTTCGATTTTTTTCTAGGATGATCCTGTGGAACTGTATGCACCTCGACAGCGACTCGGCTACCCTGGCACACCTCCCACACTGGCATAGAGCTGGGCTGCAGCCAAACCTTCTGTGAACCACGACAACCACTGCCAGTGAATTCACATACCGGCCAGCAGGCACCTCATCACCTCCTGCCTCCCTGCACAACACTCATTCATCATAACCCAGATTCTTTGAAATAATCATTAGTTCTATGTGTAAGGAAAGTGAGAAATGATTGTATTGAAAAAGTAATGAAAAGTGATTTTACATTTAGAGTGAAGTGTGTGAGTAACCAAAAAGGAGAAGTTAATACTGCTGAATTACTGTGAGGGGAAGTTGGTCACAAGCAGTGCACTGAACAACACGGTGCATGCCAAAAGAGGTATTAACTACAAACTGTGGCATTTGGTTGGATAAGAGGACAAGGTCTACTGACAAGAATCCTTTAAAAACCACCAGAAAAAGAGGAACAACAACTTGCTCAGTGGTTGTCCAGCTTGTCTTCTGACTTCCAGAAGACAAAGACCGAAGGAAGACAGCCGAAAGATTGATTTGGCTGCGGATTCTCCCCTGCAGGCCTATGGGGGAGGAAGGGATGAAACAGAAGATAGAGTCGCTATGCAGAGCGGGAAGTCAACGTGGGACAATTGAACTGTTCAAATGCTTCACAATTCAGCAAGGAAAATTCTGAATTCCTGCCTAAAAGAATATTTATGAGAAAATAATGGTTTTGGGATGGAAAGGAATGTCACAATCCAAAAACTCTAACCAACTGAGGACTGGTGACAGTGAGAAATTCTTTGACTTTTATTCAGTGATTGAGAGCTCAACTATAATGATTTTAATCAGTAAAATAATTTAGACTGATGTTTAGAAATAGTAGTTGATTCATTTAGATTGTAAGCTGATCAAAACAATTATTGATGATTTAATGTTTTACCTTATTGCTTACTGCTGTACTGTAATTCTTTGAAAATCTATATAAAATTCCTGGAAAGGTTAAACTTTCGCTTTCTCTTTCTTCATTGACTCGGTTTTGGCGTTATTAATATTCTTATGAGTTCAATATTGGTTTACACTTAAGTGATAATGCTGAAAGCTGCATGTAATGGTTTACACTGCACCTTGTTTTTACTGTGTAGTAATTGTTTTTATATCATTTTGTTTTTATTGCACTCTGTTTTGGTCAAGAGCACATACCGTGCCGTAACATTCACACGTGCGGAAGTGGACTCACGAAAAATGCAGGACTCAGACTCAGGCTTGACAAGGTCAATGCATTTAATAAGTTTATAGAGAAGTGTCAGAGCTGGTCTCATCCGCCGGTCGAGGGGCAGCTGGGAGCGCTGGGTGGACTGGTCTGCTGGTGTTGCAACCCGGGGTTGAAGGAGGTGCGCAGCTTGCTAAATGAGAGCAGAGGGAGAGAACATGAGAGCTGGACAGGTGTGCTGAGGTTGGAGCTAGTTCTGATAGAATACTGTGGACCTGATTAGCCGAATGCGCCGGCTCTCGGCAGGTGAACGACGCAGGCAAAAGAAGCAGTCCAGGGCAGCAGGAGAGGGCGCAGGAGATAGCCGGTCAGATGAGCAGGTCCACGGCAGAGCAGGCGGTAGGGTGATGTGATGAAAACTGACAGTGGAGATCCAGAATCTTAGTAAGAGCAGGTCTTACTAAGGTCTCACTTGGTGCTGAGAGAAACAAAACAACGAAGGGAAGGAATCCAGACAAGCCGATGCCTCAAACCTTCACATACTCATACCAGCTGAGGAGGTGCTGGGGGCGGCCTGGGCCACGGGCGGAACAGTGAATGCAGATTCAGCAGCATTAGTTAGTACAAATTATTGTGTTTTTTTTTTCACAACTTTCAGCCATTTTATTTCTAATACTGACTTTGACAGTGTACCTGCCACTGTTTTAGTGATGCTTCTCAGCTCTCACCTTCTTTAGATGAACTTATGTTCTGACCTCTGTTTTACTCTAGCTTGTAAAACAGCATTGTATTTCAGCCTTTAGCTGTTTCAGCAATATAATTCAAACATCTTCAGCAGTGCTAGGGCAATTCTTTCAGCAGACAGCATTCACATGCATTTTTTTTCTGCAGGAAATGCCCTTTCATGTATCCTACAGGTTATGTACACTGGATTTTTTTAGCTCGACAAAAAATGGCCACCTGCTGAAGCTATAACAACGCTAAGAGACTGGCTGAGGCATAACACTGAAGTCGTGGGACAGAAAAACAAATCAATAATTTCAAAATTTTGCAGAGCTAAAGGGAACTGTAGTCCGGCAATAAATCTCTGTACTGTAGGTTCATGTTTTTCTCTCGTGTTTCATTTATCACACATATGAGCATGGCAGCAGAGGGGATGAGCGTTTTTCAGACAAGTATGAATTCTGTCATTCACTGAAAATATAGTTAGATGTTTACACACAATATATGACTTTAAGATGTGTGGCCTTGTCATCTGTTCTCTGGGTGCAGTTGATGTGTGTTCCAAGGCATTTTTTTGTATTGGATCTCAGTTACCCAAAACCATGTGCCCAGGTTTGGGAGTTCATTCAGACTGCCATCTTTGACATCCCAGGAAATGAATCAAATACAGTAAAGTTAACGAGAGCTCGATTTGCTCTAATGGAAGGATGAAATATTGCCAGTAAGGCACATTTTATGAGTGAAATAGACTTCAAGTTTTGAAAGTGGGTTAAACCCTGGTTCAATGGTTTAGGTCTCTTGTGTAAGATGCAAAATATATATTCTATTTCATTTAATGGTTTTACTTATGATTAAGTTAGTCCATGGACATTGTTGGAAGCC